CGAGGAGAAAGAATAATTCTCAGCACTGTTGTAGTTTCCTCAGTGAGTTTTTCTTCTGCTGCAGGATCTGTGTAGCAACAGCAGCACTGCTCCTCACTGCCTACAGTGCTCTTACCAGCTGTCCATTCTTTAGGCCCCAAAGGACAAGAGGGAGAAAACGTGCTGACTTTGAAATACACTGCCTTAGAGCAGCCTGGGAAGGAGTCCTCTGCATGTTTTCAGAAGCCATTGACAGAACTTGTGCAAAGGTGCAGCATGTCCTTTGTGGTCACAAAAATCAGGTCAGACCCAGCTTCTTTGAAGGCAATGCTCCAGAAAAATCTTCTTAGAATTGACAGCAGCAACTTCCATTGCTTATCAGTACATTTAATCACAATTGCCAGATGCCTTGTGTTTACCTAATACCTTCTCAGACTGAAGACCGGTGTTTTGCAGGCTGATACCTAATAACATCCTGGTGTTGGGAAGTCATACTATTTCATTGACCAAACCTGTAGAACTTTAACAGCTTCCTATGTTAGCAAAGCCGAAGGCAGAACTCAAAGCTAACTAATTACAGCAGAAACTTTTCACTTTGCTAATCCAGACTGACCAGCTAGGATTTGATTAACGTGCCTTTTAATGGTCAAAACGACAAGAGAGAATCCTGTTTTCAGGGCAAACTGACGAGGTACTGGCTGCAAAAGGAGGGCAAACAGATTCTCTTTTGTTTGTATTTTTTTACTGCTTCCTCTCTGTTTCTACATTCCTGTTTAGCACTTGCCATTGCCTATACAGCTTGTTCTCTAGAGACTGAGTTGTGCAATTACATCAACACTGAATGTGAACAGCTACACCTAGCACAAGCAATTCGAGCGGTGAGCAAAGGTCCCCACGCTGGTCTGAAGTCAGATTTGCTACATCAGTGAGTCAATAAGCAGACTGCAGTTCCAAAGCCACTTACAAGAGGATGTGTAGCAACACCCTACTTTGGCAACGTAGCTCTTTCCAAATTTCACAGCAACAAATGCCACCCACACAGGAAAAGGCACTCGGATCTGACAGATCAGCCTGATGGAGAATCTACCCACAGAGTACAACACAAGCCAAGACTGTTTTCCTGTGACTCCAACGCTAAATTAACAATTCCAGACACTGAGGTACAGGACAGCATCACTTACTTTAGAGCAGTGCCTGCAAGCAAAGCTTTCTAGCTTTTGTATTTCTTCAGGTAACTCTCGAGGAAGAGTTTGGAAGGACCTCCTCAGTGGGCAAGGAGCAGGGCTGGGCCTGCCTGACCCACACTGACTGGGCTTCAGAGGTAACCACTACAGTTACTTGCACTCTGCTGCAGTTAGACCGTAACAGAAACCTCAGTTAATCCAAAATTCCCCAAGATGCTCACTAACAATCACTGCCTATGCAAGTAAATGTGGCCCTGCCATCTTTGGGGATGATCACGAGGTGAGAGAGATTACTGCAAAACTTCCTGAACTTCCATATGTAGGAATCTGATTGCTAATCATAGTAAATCCAACTTGACAGCTGAATCAAGGGCTTCAATCTGTTTCATAAACTTCATTAAAGGCGTGTTGCAACACCAGAACCATTCTGTTTTCCTGTTTAAATAAATCCAAACCATTTCTCCACATCAGCTTTTAAGAAAGTCACTGAAATCTATTATTGGGCTGCTTCTGAGGCAGCCTGTTTTCACAAAATGCTGTCAGCTACGTGCTAAAGCTGCACATCTTTCAGAAAAGACTGCATTTATCCTGTTAAGCTTCATAGAAATTATCAGCTGTTTACTGCATATAATAACCTAAAATTTCTCCATGAAAATAATCCAATAACTTCCCTATTGCTTCCCAGAGGAAAACCCCTGTCTAGTAGGAAATGCATCATTAACTTTCACCATCTGTAATGTAATACAATCACTGAAGTTCCTTGCTATACTGATAACAGCTTTCAAAAGAATGCTTACCAGGTTCTCCACAAAACCTTTCACGACTGAGGTCAGCGTAGATTAAAAGTTCTGGAACTAAGATCACAGCAGACAAGGTGTTCTCAATTAACCAATTAACCAAGGTGTTCTCAATTAACCAGTCCCAATATTCTTGTCCTGAGGCCCATGACAGCTTTTCTACAAACCCACTCAACAGGGCTTGTGATGTGGTGTGTTACTTCATGTACACTGGCTATGAAATCTGCCAGGGGATACATCCTCAGCCCTATGTGCAGAGTTCTACGGCTGTGCAATCTCTCTGTTAAGCAGCTCATTTGATTATGACAGAAAAAGCTTAATAGAGTTAAGGGTAGAACCACGTCAAAGTCAGGAACCAAGTTCCCTGCAAGCTGGAAGCAATGAAACTCAGATATAAAGACAGTTTTCTTTTTATCAACTTTACCCGAGGCTAATATCATCAGATAAACAGAAGTCAGATACAATAAATAGCCTCTAGGTCAAAGGGAACCATTACAGCACCAGCAGCTTGAAAGAGACAGGACAGAGAAGGCACAACCAACAAGAACTTACAAGCTGTCTTGGAATACTTTCAAGTATGTCTGCAATGCAACATTATTAGGCCTAAGTGCAAAGTGAAGTAAACAGCTTTAACAGATTTTCTCACAAGCTCCAGCCCCACCAGATCCATTCAAAGCTGAAATATTCCAGTGTATTTTTTACACCTTCTGGCAATTCAGCCTGCAAGCCCCATTTTGGACCTTCTGTAATAAAATGAGTAATTTTTAGTAAAGTATCTCTAGCTAAAAATCTAGGAAAGGACAATATTCTGATCAACAGGTATTCATCTGAAATCAATAGGTTACAATTCAACAGGCTTTAGTACAGAAAGTACTAAAGTATAGAAAGTATTTTAGCATGGAAAACTAAAGTGCAGCCCTAACATATGGAATTTTATCACACACAAAGCACATTCTACAGCTCAGTACCTTTTGAACCAGTAGATTTCTTCCGGGTCTGCAATTCCATACTCTCTTAACTTCATCACCATCAGAGAGCTCTTCCTGACAGCTTGCTCATAGCGTTGGCTGCGGGAGAGGAAGTTCAAATCTTCGTGCTGGAAGTCAGGGTCATTAATCACTAAGGCCTCTGGAGACAGACAGAGGAAAACAAACTCAGTTATTACAGTCCTCGATAAACTGCACATGAAATGGTTCAGCTTTTCACTTGTTGTGCCTCAGGCTGCAGATACCAAAATACTTGAAACCCTGAATTAAAAGGTAATGAAATTGGAAAGAAGTCACAAAGCTCTCAGAGCATTTTGGGCAGTGGGACACAGAGTATGGTGCTCGCCATAAGCCAAATTTTAAACTGGGCACATTCTGGACACGACAGGAGATTCACTCAGTGATGTGAGACCAGCAGGGCACCCTCCCACAGCCCGGCTCTGCAGAATCTGCCTCACGCACATCCGATCGCCACGGGCTCTTGGAAGGAAGGCACTGCTCTTGTTCCCCCTGCACTGACTGGGAACGGAGGTACCCTGAGGCTACAGATTTTTGCCATCCCCTTTGGCACAGAAGTTGTGTAACAGCAGCCTGTGACAGTCACAGAATCACAGAAACACCAAGGTTGGAAAAGACCTACGAGATCACCCCGTCCAACCATCCACCTGTCGCCAGTAGTTCTCACCAAACCACGTCCCTCAACACCAAATCCAGATGTTCCTTGAACACCTCCAGGGTCGGTGACTCCATCAGCTCCTTGAGCAGCCCATTGCACTGCCTGACCACAGAGAAGTAGTATTTCCTAACGTCCAGCCTAAATCCCCCCTGGTGCAGCTTGAAGCCATTCCCTCTGGTTCTTGTCCCACTCTGGCAGGGGCAGAGAAGGAAATGGGAGCATTTCAGAGGTGCCATATACCATGATTATGAGGGGAGAGAAGCAGGTTACAGCGTGCTGTTGGGTAACAGCTCTAGGGTGAGCCTATTGTGGCCTTCCAGTACTTGAAAGGAGCATTTGAACAGGAGGGGGAACAGCCTTTTACACGGATTGATAGTGATAGGACAAAGGGAATTGGTTTTAAGCTGAGACAGGGGAGGTTTAGGTCAGATATGAGGGGGAAGTTTTCCACACAGAAGGTGGTGACGCCCTGGAACAGGTTGCCCAAGGAGGTTGAACCCCTGGAGGCATTCAAGGCCAGGCTGGATGTGGCTCTGGACAGCCTGGTCTGCTGGTTGGCGACCCTGCTCACAGCAGGGGGTTGGAACCGGATGGTCACTGTTGTCCTTTGCAACCCAGGCCGTTCTGTGATTCTGTCAACAGGGCAGGACGAGAGCCAGCACAGCCGCGGGAAGCCACCTCCCACCCGGTGAGAAGGGGAATTCATGGCGAACCAGGCCCCGTTCCAGGCTCATCCCAGTCCCGTGCAGGGCTCCCCGCCCCCATGGACACGCTGGGCCTGCAGACCCCTCCAGGCAGCCCGAGCCGCTCTTACGAGCCCCTCTCTGCCCTCCCCCTCCTCGCAGAGCCGGCCCGGACCCCTTTCCCCGCAGCCGGGCCGCCCTCACCGATCTCCTTTCTGCGCCGGGTTCGCTCGGCGCCTCCATCTAAGATGTGCGTGAGCAGCTCGGGCTGGAAGGTGGCAGCGGCGCGCTCCCTGCGCAGATCCTCGTTCATCATCGCGGCGGCTCCGTTCGGCCCCGTCCGTCCCCGACCTCCACCCGGCTCCGCGCGAAGCCCCGCCCCCCTGACGTCACCGCCCGCGACGTGGCCACGCCCCCTTTCCCGGGCTGGGCGGGGCGGGGCGGGAGCGGCCTCGCGGTGAGTGTGGGCGCGCGGGGCTGCATTGCGTGCTGTGCCGCGTGCGCTGTGCCGCGCTTCGAGTCGTGCGTGCGGGCGGGAGGCGGCCGGCCGTGCTCTGAGCGCTCGTGCAGCCAGGCGAGCGTTGCACGCCGCTTTCAGTCGCGCGCCCGGCGTGCTGCAGCTGGGAGCGCGTGCGGCTGCATAAAACGCGTGCGGCTGCAGCTGGGTGTGCGGCGCGTGTGTGCTCGGTGTGCAAACAGCGTGTTGCATCTGGGGCTGGGCGTGCATTGCATCGTGCTTTGAATAGATGTGCTGCATGCTATGAGGAGTTGGGCGTGCATTGCATCGTGCTCTTAATGCGCATGCAACATGCATGCTAGGAGTGCATTAAACTATGCATGCAGTTTTGCAGCTGTGTGTGCAGTGCACGTTGTGTGCACGTTACGATCTGTACATATGCATACAGCATGGTGCATCTCGGCTGGGCTTGCATGGAATCACACACACAGCATGCTGCACCCGTGGCTGTGCCCACCCCAAATTGCATTAAATGCACACAGTGTGCTGCATCTGGGATTTGGCTTCCTTGTGAATTAAGCATGCATTGAACTCTTGGTGTTTGAGGCTAAGCTTGCATTACATGGTGCACTAAATCTGTATGCAACAGGCTGGCTGTGCATTAAATAGCACATTGGATGTGCACATAACTGCTGCAACCTGGGGCTAAGGATGCATTCAGTTGTGCATTAAATAACAACATTGAGTGCACATAACATGCTGCACGTGCAGGCAGGCATTTCATAATTGCTTTGTTGAATAATTGGTTAAATCTCCATGTAGCATATTGTATTTGGGACCGGGCAGGCACTAAATAGTGCATGAGAGTGCACTAAGTGTGCGTGCAGTATGCTGTACTTGATGTTGTGCATGCATTAAGCAGTGCATTAAATAAAAGCATGGCATGCTGAAACCAAGGCCCTAGAAAGGAGAGAACGCAATGCCAAAAGGAAGTGCTGCAGGACACAGCCATGTACCTGGCCGCAGCTTTGGCTGGGCAAAGCTAAAGCCATGCTGAAGTTGCTTTGCATCCTGTTCCAGCTCACTCTGCGTGCTGTGGAGGATGCTCAGGGCTCAGTGTGAGCTCCTGCAGCCCTCTGCTTGGGGGACCTGGGCACAGGAGGACTTTTGGGATGCTGTTACCCAGTTCTGGTTCAAGAACTGGGTAGCAGGAGCTCAGATCTGCTTTTGCAGAGCCAGTGGTTGGTTGCGTGAGATGCTGCCAAGCGCTGGGGTGTACTACTTCCCATGGGAAATCAACAGCTCCATTCCAGAAGGGGAAGCACTGAGGACATTTGGCAGGTGAGGAGGGTATCGTGGGCTCCTTGCAGGCCGGGTTGCTCCCCCACTGGCCCCCCTGTACCCTGGCTTTGTTTGCAATCTCAGCTGTGCACCTCCCAAATCCATTGCTCCCAGGCTAAGCTGCTATGACCTGGCCCGATCCGAAGCCACTCTCAGCACTCAGCATGGCTCAGCCCAGCACCACGTCCACATCGACACCACACTGGTGGAACCATTTGAAGCCCAGCTGGGATCTCTCTACATGGTCCTGGGAGAGGCTGAACGCAGGGAAGGTAAATGCTGTCTCTGTTTGGCTGGATACACTAGATACTGAGTAAAGGAAGGTTGGCTTTAACCAGAAATGCTGCTGCACAGTCTCCATTCCTGTCCTGTGGGTTCAGGCACTTGATGCTGAGAGTCTGATGAACCTTTGGAGCCCTTTAAGCTGTTTTGCTACCCCTGCTCCAGCATCCATCTCCATACCATGGCTACAGCTCTTATCAAATGATAAGAGCTGTAAAGCCCTGCAAAGTGCTGGAAAATGCACAACACTGCTGGAGTGCCCTCTGCTTGAGGAACCAGTGCCCTTATCTTGATGAAAACCCGGTGCTCTGGCACAGATTTCTTCAGAAGCCAGAAGTGCCTGAGCAGCACAGCTTATGAAACCAGCGGTCAATTGCCTTCGCTCCGAGTGTGGCTGACTGCAGCAATACCATGCTGGGAGCTGGCTGGGTTGGTCTTTGCCATCCTTGAAAGGCTTTAATTACACCCTGCCCTCAGAGATGGGGCGTGTGGAAAATGGGCAGGCTTTGTCACCCTGTTGTCACTCTGTTGTTATCCTGCTGGCCTTCCTGGGGTGCCCTGAGTGTTATTCAGGCTTTGCATGGGATTTCAGTTGGGCTGTGGGGCTATGAAGCAAATCCCAAATGTTGTCCTGGCCATACCTGATAACAAACACTCACATTTGTGCCCTTTAAACCCTCAGCAATGGGTGGAAAGCCACAGTGCATGTGGCATCTGGTGAGTCACCTGCTAAGCCTCTGCTGCAAAGCTCCTTTAGGAAGGCATGTTATTTTGGTTGTCACTGCCTAGGAGCAAGTTGACCTCATTTTGTAGGCATGAAAGGGCAGGAGGCTGAGAGGCTGTGTGCACAAGGCTGATTGTGTTCACAAGGCTTGGCCCCTAGTGCAGCACCTGAGTCCATCAATGAACCGCTGGTTCATTGAACCTGGCTCAGCAGGCAGCGTTGAGCCTCTTTTATGCCCAGCTTTGTTGTCTCCTCTTCTTGCCTGCAGAGGTTGGCTTAAACCCAACCCTGATGCTTTTCAGATAGGAAAAGCCAAAGCTGTTCAGTGCAGCCGTGGGGTGGATGGATGCTGTGTGGTATCCTGGGCTCTGCCTTCACCTGGCCAAGGGAGCTCAGTGGCAATCATTGGCATTTGGCAGCTGACAAGGCAGAAGGAAGGAAGCACATCATGAATTAACCTGCTGCTTGTGGAGGCGTGCAGCCAGAGCAGCATCCTGCAAGGTCTCAGGCTATGGTTATTTGGCCACCTGGAAGTGTACATTGCCAGAAAGGGAGCTTTCTGTGTGCCGCAGAGCTTCTACTTCTCTTTCTCTTCCTACAGAAGCTTCCTCTATATTTCCAGGTGAGAGTCCTGTGATAAAAGCCCGAATATTGACCTGTGTGGAAGGGATGAACATGCCTCTGCTGGAACAAGCCATCCAGGAGCAGAGAAAGTACTTCCAGGAGAGGCAGCAGCAGATGGAATCTGGCATGTCCTGACAGCAGCTCTGACCCCAGCCTGTGCTGGTCCCCACCACGGCCGTCTGGCAGCTGCCATCTGTAGAAAACATTTGGAAAGTGTATTTAGAAGGTGGGTTTGAAACATTGCTGCTTTTTGTCATGGCAAAGAGAGAAGTCACTAAATGGGAAAGTACATGAAGATTGAACCAGTACGTAAATGTGGAGCTGCCAGTTTGTGCCAGTTGTCACCATGGAAAATGACTGGGAAGCAAATTTGTTGTTTAAGAGAGTGGTTAAGGAAAAAGGGTGCTTGAGTTAACAGCAGTTCTTTTGTAATGCAGGGCTTGGAGAGGTCAGTAAAAGGCAAAGTCTCTGAACCTCTAGTTAAACATCTGCACACATCCGCATGTGCTGCCAACATGCTGCAAATGAGAGGTAAAGGGCAGCAGTGCAAAGTCTGTTAGCCCTGCATGGCTACGGGTTCACGAGTGCATGCGTTGGGTTGTGGTGACTCGGCTGCCACACAGGAGCATTCGTGGAAAAACACTCAGGTCTGGACTGAACAGCAAAGGAACAAAGAGAGCAAGGAGCCTCTACTTCACTGGGACTGCCTCTTAGAGGGGTCAGGAGCCTGCATCCAAGATGCATGGTTGACTTTTGCTCTAAATTAAATATTTGCACTGCCCTGACAACCGTCACTTGACTTTCTTCCTTGACACATCTAAGTTTAGGAGACCTTAAATCATTATTTTTGGAAGCATCTGAAGGTTTTGACTGATATTTTCCTAAATAAAGACAGAAAGAGAATGTGGTTTGTCTTTTATTGATTAAAAACCTTTCTTGCTAAGGCATGTGCATTAGGCCCTGCAGAAACACTGTGGGTGATGTAAGAAGACACAGCAAACTGCCGTTTTCCTTCTCCTCCTAAGGTCTGGGTGTGTAAGGAACTGCTTGGCTTCGATAAAGTTGCAAGAAGAGGAGATGAAATTACATCAGAGCCAGCCTGGCTTAAGAACACGGTGCCAGGCCCAGCAGGATTAAACTGTCAATAACATGACAAAATGGCTAATGTGAGATGAGAATAAAATTAAAGCGTGACAGACTTTTTTGTGCAACAGAAATTGAGGGGTCTGGGGTGAGGTTTGTCTGCGGTTCTCTGTAACTCAGCCACCTGCAGCCTTTTCTGGTTTTTTGCTCAGATTCTCTGCTGAAACGTTTGGAAAACATGGGCTGAAGCCATCCAGTGAACAGAAACAGAGCAAAACGGCACCAGATATTGCCATAGGCTTGATTCACAATCCTGAGGTTGCTCAGTAATTACAGTATTTGTGATAATCTTTGATCATAGTTGAGACTTGTGTTTTGCTCACGCAGTTACCAAGCTCTGAAAGCCCTATCTCTGCACACGTTAGCTGTTCAGCCCAAGTCCAAAACCATTATCTCGAGAAGCAAGATTTTGTCCTGGTTTTATAAGTCAACTGTTCACATGTTGTGACGTGTTTATATCTCATCTGTTTATTCTCCTGCCTTTCCCCCTGGGCTTAAATTTTAGCCAAATGGCCATGTTTACCAGATAATTGTGAGTATCCAAGCTACCGCGTTCCTGTAAGTTCTACAGGAAGGGGAAAAAAAAGGGGAAAAAAAAAAGGTAGAGCAAATTTGGCAGTGCTTTCAGATGAAGATCCAAACAAACTCAACCTTTCCAACCCAGTGGAGAACTCACGCAGAAGCCTTGGACACACAGATCCACAGTTATGGATCTGCCACCTACTTTTGATTCTTCTGTGCCAGCAACTTCAGGATTCATTTTAAAACAGTTTGAGGTGGTGGCTTAGGATGCCCTGAAACAGGCTATTTAGATCACACAGAAGTGCCATGGAACCATGCATTCAGTGGGCTGCCATGTCCTGCGCCCAGCCCAAGACCCAGGTCTCTGTAGCTCCACCTTTTGTTGTGCCACCACGTGTAATAAGCCTTTAACCTGCCAGCTAGCGAGTCAATTATTAATTCCCCCACCAAGGACATCTTCCAAAGGGCTGACCAAGCAGCACAGCCCTTAGTGGGGAGGCTCACGGGACAGTTGCGCAAGACAAATTACACGCCACATCCCCTTCACACCAGGCACAAACAGAACCAAGCATTGGCCCTGTGTAACCTTTCCCACAATCCCGGAGCAGCTCTTTGGGTGCATTCTATTCCATTTCCGCTTTATCCGGTGCAACAGAACAAGCTGCCGGCCCCAGGTTGTCACTGTGGGGCTCTTTGGGTCTACACAGCTGCTCTGTAATCCAACAGCCCTCACCCACAGCTGAGCTCTGGGTCGGAGGAGTGGTGCAGAGAGCAAGCAGACGCTGTGCTGCGCTCCTGCACCTTTTCTCCTTTCGTTCTTGTCCTCCTTCCGTGTCAGCAGCCACAAGGCTGAGGCCATGCAGGCCTTCCAGCAGGTGTTCCAGAAGGTGGAGAAGATCGGGGAGGGCACCTATGGTGTGGTGTACAAGGCTCGCAACAAGCGCACGGGGCAGCTGGTGGCCCTCAAGAAGATCCGCTTGGACGCGTGAGTGGGGCCATGTCCTCCCCATGGGGACACCACGGCCTAGCTCAGCCTGCTGTGCTGCAAGGGCCCCGAGCACAGTGTGCAGAATGGCTTCAGAGGCTCTAAAAAGCCTGACACGAGGGGGAAAAAGTGTGTCTAGTGGCTAATGAGAGTGATGTGAGCACAGCCCCACAACCGCGGCTCAGGGCAGAGGAGGAAGCCGCCATTTTGGGATGGCGCCATTTTGGGGTGCCGCCATTTCAGGATGCCACCATTTTGGGGTGCCAGCTGTCCCTCAGGAGTGCAGCACTGGGGCCTGGCGAGGCCCTGTACCGACTTCAGCCCCTTCAGAATGGGGACTGAATGTGTACAAGGTTAATCTACTCTTCTGGGCTGTCCAGACTGAGGAGTGTGGGTGCAGATTGATGCCTATAGTGGTGGCACTGCCCCTTCCCCTCCCCCCCCCTCCCCCCATCACTGCCTTTCTCACCTTCCCCATGGCCCTGCGTCCCCCCATGTCCAACCCAAGCCTGTGGTACCAAGTGTGAGACCCTCCCCTAGGCCCAGAATGGGGCACAGTGACAGGAAAAAGGGAGGTGGGATAATGCCAGGCTGTACGGTCTGGCTATGACATGGGGTGCTCTACAGCCCACTTCTGCCATAGGGAGACAGAGGGCGTCCCCAGCACTGCCATCCGAGAAATCTCGCTGCTGAAGGAACTGAAGCATCCCAACATAGTCAGGTAAGAGCCACGTGAATCCTCCCCACCAGCTCCGCATCCTGCTCATCACCACAGTCAGCTCCAGATCAATCTTTCACAGCCCGTACAAAAAAAACAAAAGTAAAATGGAAACAAACAAAATCAGGCTGATACAAGCCCTCCGGTACTGCATACCTGACCTTCTGCTCTGCCTTAGAGGGCTTTCAAAGCAGAGACACCTAAGGAGAAATGAGGGATGCTTGGAAGTTGGCAAAGGCCTGAACGTCATCCCAGGTGCTGTGACATCCCTGTGTAGCACCAATTCCCATGCAAAGGCATTAAAGGGGGTGCTTGCACTTCTCTTGCAGGCTCCTGGATGTTGTGCACAGCCAGAAGAAGCTGTATCTCATATTTGAGTATCTCAATCAGGACCTGAAGAAATACATAGACTCTTCCCAAACTGGAGAGTTTCCTTTAAGCTTGGTCAAGGTACAGTGCTGGAAGGAGAGCTAATAGGTCTGCAATAGAGTGAGTCCTTGCTGCCTTCTGCTGGTCAGAGCCAGCACTGAGCTGCTCTTAGCCAGGCTGCACTGGGGAGAGAGTCATCCTCAGCTGCAGTCAGTCAGCCTTTCTGATCTAAAACTTTTCAGCTGGGAAAGCCTCCTGGTGCAATTGCTCAGTGCATTTGTTTCCCAGCTGTTTCCAGGCTCTCTCACCCGTCTCATTTCTGAACAAACTGTTGATAGGACAATAGAGGGATCTACTGCTAATTGTTTTTCTAGACTAGTGGATGGGTGGAAGTGACTGCCCCTGCTTGGACTGGAGTGTCTCTGTCTCCATACAGCAGGAGCAGTTTGTGTGGATCTCTGGGTAGTGGCCTGCAAGCCTGGTGTTGCATAATTGCAAAGTCATATTCCTCATTAAAGTCTATAAGTGAACTAAAATGTGCTGGTTCATGTAATCAGATCTTTGAAGTGGTTTAATTGCTGTGCTGCCTAAAATCTCTTCTTTCCTTAGAATTACCTTTTCCAGCTGCTGCAGGGTGTGAGCTTTTGCCACTCCCACAGAGTCATCCACAGGGACTTGAAGCCACAGAACTTGCTCATTAATGAAGCAGGAGCAATCAAACTGGCTGATTTTGGGCTGGCAAGAGCTTTTGGAGTTCCCCTGCGCACATACACTCATGAGGTACTGTTAAGACTCCCTGCCATCTGAGGTGCACAAACTGTAGTGGATGCATGACAGCACCACAGTGACATATCCATAGCTGACCTGCAGCTAAGGGTCACCTCGTGTCCCCGCAAATTGTGCTGACCCCTTCCACCCCAGCCTGCCTGTGAACTGGTTTCTCGCTTTCTTTTCATAGGGTATATTTATTCCAGTGCCCCATTAAAAAATGACCTGTTAATCCCAAACATGCTGTCAGTAATTAAACATGGTCATAGCACACTCTGATTTGTACAGTCACTGTTACAACAGAGAAAAAAAGGATTCCATGCCTCTAGTTTCACTCAGGAAAACTAGACAGGGCTTGTTGTTGGTTCCTTACCAGGTGGTGACTTTGTGGTATCGAGCTCCTGAAATACTCCTGGGATGCAAATACTATTCAACAGCTGTGGACATGTGGAGCATCGGCTGCATCTTTGCCGAAATGGTAGCGTGGGTTTTAATGTGTCTTTAAACGAGGGGGGAGAGCCCAGCTGCAAGGGGAAGTGGAGAAGGAGGGGCAGGATGCAGAGTATCTGTGATACTGATCTGTGGTCCCACCCCGTCCTGGGGTGTGTTATGGAAACTCCACCCTGAGGGTGAGCTGATCCTCGTGCTGTCAGAAAGAGATCTGCTGCCAGGAGGGAAGTGCCGGAAGGTAAAGCGGCCTCTGTAGTCTGGCTGCAGTGTCGGTACGTGACAGTGTCGTACTTCAGTCCTACCGCAGCAGCATTTTGATCCCGGGAGGAGCAGACTCTTGCCGATGTCTCCCAGCAGGTTGCAGAGAAGTAGCAGTTCAGAACAGGTCAGAGCATTGCTCTGTTTGGGTCTCCTACAGAACTGCAGTCTAGTTCAAAGAGCTCAATATCCCTGCAGCAAGACAGCACTTCCCCCAGCTCCCAAAGCCCCTGAGCTGCTGAGCAGAACCTAAACAAGCAGCTGGTCTTCAAGAGAGGGTGGTAGGAAACTTGAGACAAAGAGGGTTAAAGGACTGATTGAAAGTGGGACAGCCTCAGGGGAGTCCTGGTCCATGGGAGGAGCTGGGGACAAGCATACACCCTTCAGTCTTCCAGCTGTTGCCTGGCAGAACTGCCTCGACTTGAGCAGTTTTTTGCATCTGCTGGAACAAAGGTTTGTTTGCAGGGAGAAATAGGGCACAGAGCTGATGGAAAGCTGGGTCCCGGCTGCTTTTTTTTTTTTTTTTAATTTATTTTATGTATTTATTTTTTTGCTGCAGGTGACCAGGAAGGCCCTGTTTCAAGGGGACTCAGAGATCGATCAGCTCTTCCGGATCTTTCGCACCCTGGGCACTCCCACCGAAGCAACCTGGCCTGGGGTGTCACAGCTGCCTGACTACAAGGGTGACTT